ATTCATTGGCGGTGGTCAGATGGATTGTGGATGATATGGCATATATCTTAGCTATATCTGTATCATCTCATTATCTAGGAAATAGTTTATTTTAAATGTCTGGCCCAAGATACATACTGCAAGATCAACCAGATGAAGTTTTCCCATGCGCACATGCTGGTTTCCATCTACACCCTTCTCACTGCACTCGATGGTGATGGTGAAGATAGCGTGAGAACGAGAGCTGTGTTCATTCATGTTTGTGGCACCGACAGACCCTAAACATAGTGAAACAACATTTGAACAGATAACATGACTGGTATAAGTATGTTTGACGACATAATTATAGCTGAAAAATGTATTTTTCCAAATGATTCCTTGCACTTTGCCCATTGCTTGATAGTTTGCATACTTTACTCAGAAATAATAGCAGAGATTTTATATTATGTACATCAATCAGTTGCATCCACACAATTCTGTATATAATGCAAGACTGTAACGGTATTTCTATTTCTTGCTTCTTATTGTTTGTATGTGATTTTACCATGTATCGCAAAGATAAATATCTAAATACCTCTTAACCTCCACTAGGTATGTCAATGGCCGACATTACTGTCTTTCAGAGGCAGTAGTGGGCTGTAGCGTGAAGATACTGGTATCATATGAAACGAGATAACCTAAGGGATCCATTGGTACCATAATGTCATGCTAGCCTTTCAGGAAGGGGGCTAGGGAAAGACTGTCAAGTCCATCTTCAAAGGGATCCCTTGACCCCTCACCTCAAGATATCTGAATGAAAATAGATTCTGTGGGTACCCACATATTTCCCCTTTCCAGACATGCCAATTTAATATTAATTCCAACCATGCTGTTATTTGTATGCAGTATAAATGTGTTATTTTGGACTCTACTAACAACAGAGTATTTTAATATTTCTGCATACTGGGGGCACTAAACAGTATCAGAATTGCATAAAATGGGTATGACTGGAAAGCTGAGACCTCAACTGCATTCATGATTGATGATGTTGGTCCCATTAGCAGCCATTTCATTGTATTGAGACCACTTTACCTCTAGGATAATCACAGCCTCATGAAACTTTACAACAACAAACTGCAGACCTGGGGCATTCACAGGATGTATGGCCTTCCAGTGTTTATTGAAAATAAGGGGGTTTCCGATCATAAACTGTTCTGTGGTGTTCGTCAAGGTCTTGGTGACTTAAAGTGGTATTCTGGAGGGATTTTTGACAATTTGTAATACATTTTGGAGTGGTCAAAAATTGTTTATATTTTGCACCAAATTTGAGTAACAAATGGTATCAACTCATAAAATGCTGCAACAACTTATAAGCCATTAAGTATAGAAATGACCATCATATATACTTTCACCATAAGGTTCTAAGCCCTCAACTACACTCAAAATCTGAATAGAGGCCTAACCAAAACACAGTGTTTATTACAGATTAATGACTTGAAAAACTTGACACACAGTGCTGAGCTGATCTTAAATTGATCTTCAGGATCCCATCTTTCAAATGACGTATACCACTTCTATATGGCAAATAGTGATTTACCTGCTATCTCGCCGTAAAGCAACACCCCTCCAAAAAAAAAACTGGATCTACGGTAGTAAGGGGTGGAGTGGAAAAATGCTGTCAGTTGTTCTGCTTACGGTTTTTGTGGCCCAGTGTCATAATCCTGTCCATGTCGTCAGCGTTGTTCACAACATAACCAGAGAGGTCTTTGATATACACACCAACATCTGGTCTTTCTTTCACCTGTGTTGGAAAAATACAAACTCATCAGGGAAAATTGCTGTCAGCATCAAACGGTTAACACAAGCAAATCTATTCCGACATCTTCTGCTTTTTAAAAAAAAAAATACTGTTTTACTGCACTTTAAGACAAATCCCCAAAGAGAGTTTTGTTTTTAATCACTGAACTCCATGTTTTAGTGTTGAATTTGAATATCCTTTTACCTCTAGCCTCTGCAGCTGGTCCTTGCCCAACAGGTCTCGCACTTCCTCATTGTAAATCTCCAGGTACGAAACACGAACCAAGAATCTGTGGAAGTTAAATATGTATTTAAAAGTCATGTTAAATGCTGAAATGTAAAACTAGGCCTTGTAAATAAATGTCTCATATATAACAAGAGCTCTCTTGCAGCCGTTTATTCTGCTTTATTTGAAACAAATTCAGTTTATTCAGAAGAAAATGCTTTGTCCAAATACTTATTTTGTTCTGAATATGCATGAGCTCCGTTTACATAGGTCATGTTTTTACTTGCCTTGAATTCAGTGAAACTCATAACAGTACATTCAGATGAAACTGTTGCTTCGGTACAAAAACAAGGTAGTTTACCAATGATAGTGTCATGCTCTGTCCACAGATTACTTTATTTTAAAGGTTGCTTGTGGTGGAGCGTGCATATTAGAAAAATAAACAGGATTTTTTAACATTATTTAGCCATAATGTAAACACCGGAAATCATAAGCTAGGACTATGTAGTAGTGTCTCTTTGGTTCTGTAGACAAAACATATTTGGCTGATTTTGCTAAATGCTTGCAGACTGATTTTGCTAAATGCTTGCAGACTGATTGCTTTCTTACCTTGTGTCGCCCTCTGCCTTGGCAATGTGACCAAAAATATGAGCAAATGAGTTGGGAATTATCCCTCTGAGTTCTGGCACTGCCCTCACACCCTCCATAGTGAATGTTTTTCCTGTGCCAGTTTGTCCATACGCAAAAATGGTGCCTGAAATAGACAGCAGAGCATACAATCATCATCATTGCCAGTATAAAATATGAAAATAAAATAATAGTAAAATAGTAGTAATCATCAGTTATAGAAATATCAGTAACATCATATTATATTATAGTTAATAATGAAAAAAACATATTCAAAGATTAGATTCACAAGAGGCTAGAGAGTGCATTTTTGAGTGTTCCACGTGGTTGATGCAGATTATACAACAATGGTTTATTGATAATATGATGTGTAATGTAATGTGGCATCACTTTTACCATTGTATCCCTCTAACACTGAGTCAATAATGGGGCGGGCTGTGAGATTGTAGACATCCAGCTGTTTGCTGTCTTGTCCAAACACAGTGTCAAATGTGAAGGTCTTAGGAGGCTCCTGGGGAGTCTCCAGTTTGTTAACTGTTATGGTCCCACGGATCTCGTCCACTTGGACGGCCTGTTTGTGGCTCATCATCTTCTCTTTCTGGTTGAGGGGACGACATCTCACCACCACCTTGACGTTATCATTAACCTCAGGTTTCTCAAGCTTATTGCTCTGGGGGGAAAACGGACCATCATAAGAGACAGTTACTCCACAGCATGCAAGCTCATATGTAGTAATAATGAACTAGCAAACCTACAATTTCATTTAACCAACATGGATATAAGGACATCGCGGTCGGGCTGTTTAACGTAAACAACACCAAGCAGTCAGTGTGCAGCTAGCTTGTTAAGTGACCGGGTTGCTAGGCAGACAAACGCTAACCTTGACGTTAACGTTAGCTATCTGGTTAGCACAATATTGGACAACAGCTAATTTGGGGAACTTTTGTCAGTCAAATCCACACATTATTAACACTTCATGCTAATTGTTTTGCGGTGACTGGTAAAACCCAACGTTGGGAACAGTATACAATTTCCTTTAATCCTACATGAAGGCAACCGGTAACGTTAAGCTAACGATGCTAAGCGGTTAGCATCACATCAGTGAGGTCGGAGGAAGGGAGTAACCCCTTTCTACACACAAAACAAAATGTAAAAAAAACAGGCGTAACGTTAGCGACTTACCGGCATAGTGACAATACAGAAAGGTGGTTATAGTAAACGTATAATGACAGTGGAATGTTTGTAAAGCTTTGTTCATTTGACTGTAGATTATCCGAAGAATTTAAATGCCAGCGCAGTGCCCATTTCATCAAAGGCTTCACATCCGATAGCTTGTTGTGAGGTCTGTGTGAAAGAGCGCATGCGTGCGTGTGGGAGGTGGGCTTTGCAGTTGTTTGGTTGAAGCAGAGCCACCTTTTAAGGGCCCTGGGTTGCACTTACTACTGCAATGTAAATGGCATCAACATACCTTTACTGTGCAGGTGATTCTATGCAGCGGAATAAAAGCACAGTCAAGACTCCACTACATTTAGCTGACGCTTTTATCCAAAGCGACTTACAATTGCTATATATGTCAGAGGTCGCACGCCTTTGGAGCAACTAGGGGTTAACACACCCCCACCACTACATGTACGTGATGACCATGGCAGGTAACCAAATTCTGTAACCCATCAGATTCTAACCAAGTAGTTTTGGTGCCTAAACCCAGGTGAATCGCACAAAAAACTGGGTCCTGTGTACAAGCATACTCTTTCGGCCCCTCCCCACATCCACAGCTATTCGTTCTAGTATCACTGTGGGCCCTTCTCACATGGGGGCCCTTTATACTGAAAATATTGAAATTCAAAGGTTTGTTTGAAATTCTCAAACATAGATATGGGTATCAGCCTCAATAATCCAGTATTAGTCGGGCTCTAACATAGGAAATCTCATCCAGACTGTCAGGTAGGACCCACCTTAAGCCATTATCATGTTAAGTGATGATATGTTAACTGTGCTTTGGTTCAGTGACTGTGACACACATTGAAGTAGTGGGGCCCCAGAGGGTTGTAGGCCATCCAGCCCTGCTGATGGCTGTAGCCACAGGTTGCAGAATTATTTTTTTCATGTAGGACATAGGGTAACTTCCAAAACATACTATTAATACATATTCAACTCAGCTGCTATATTAAAACACAATAATAATTCATATTTAACTCAGCTGCAATATTAAAATAGTTCTTGCACAAGTATTTTAACATACTGCAAGAACACGTAGACCTACTTTGACATTTTGCTGCCGTTACTTATATATCTGCATTTGCAGTTTGACTGCAGGATTTTTGCTTTTTAGAAAGGATTTCTCCATTATGGTATTAAAGAATTATGCACCTGAAATAAGACATCAAACTACTAACGTTTTGGAAGTATAGTTTATTACCACATAAGCAGTACAGATATATTACTTCGTACTTTCTCTAAATATATTTAAATATAGTTTGTTTTCTTTGCAGGTTTTGACAAAGGCACTAACCAATGCGTGTAACATGGGTATTAAACAAGGAACAGTCATTAGGTAGGTTTCTGTGCAAAATCTTATAATAGTACATGTGTAACAAACATGCACATATGTTAAAGGACACACAATATATCTCTGGAGAATTTAACCACACTCTTATATGCAGAAAAAAATAAACACCTTCATGGGATTGTCATTTGGCAGTATTAACCTTTGGGCCTCAACACGCATCTTGTTGTTCAGCAGGTCAGTCAAGTCTTTTGGCAGTTTGAACACATGGAATATATACAGTTACAGTAATAGTACACAGTCAGCTGAGCCTCTCAAGGGTTTGAAGAATACCGCTGTGGAATAAGCCTGTATGCCCACTGCTCTCCTGGGTAACCAGAACCCGTCCATCAGGTCGAGGTCTGTGGACGAGAACGAGCTCTCCTTGAAGCAGACTGAGCTCCGAGTCTGTCTGTGCTAAATGCGTAGTGGACACTCTGTGTCTGGAAAAAAAAAGCAAAAGAAGCCAGAGATTTTAATCCAGTACGTCAAATCAATACAGCATTTTACAAGTCTACTGTCTGTCTCATAATAAATCTGCTCTTTATTACAAAGACAAACATACAAATCCAACTGACCTGCTGGGGCTGAGCTGAGCCGACACAGCTGATAACGACAGCTGTGGCGATATCATTTTCTGAGGGTTAGAATTGAGATCTGACATGGTTGTTTCGAGGCCTTTCCTGAGAATAGGAACTTTTCCTTCTTTGAGAATGATCCCTGGTCCGTCTCGTCCCAGGGTGAGCGATGGAGCCCACACTTCCAACGGAAGGGGGCCAGGGCGGCAGTTGGAGGGAACCTGATTTCCTGATGACCACGAGGAGGTCCGGCGTCTTGGGGGAGGGGAGTTTTCATCTGTGAGGAACCGCACTGACTTTGACGGCTAGGAGAGTAAAACATTTACTGTAAGGCACATGCAGAGTAGTGATCACACGAACAGTTGCACAAAGCCAAAAATGTGAGCTTTTGTCTCTCGCGAGAAATCATCTGAATGACATTACCTTGTCTGTATTGTTCTTGTGTGAGTCAGGTCTGACTAGGATTGAGTGAGGCCCATTGGAAGGCTGTCTGTCATGCTGAAATGTTGCCTCATGTGAAGCAGTGAAGTTCTTGTCCTTAAAGACTGCAGCAGCAGAGGGCACTGCTGGCTCAGTCATCCAGCCCAGTGTTCTGCCAGAGCTGGACTGGCTGCTATTTTTCTTCCTCTGCAGGGCAGGTGAGTAGCCGGACGCCTGAACTTGTGCAAAGTGCTGTGAATTGGACGGGGCGTTCATATTGGGCATATGGGAGTAATGGTCTGAGCCTGAAAAAAACATTTAAAAGACATTTTTTGACAACCTGGCAAATCTCTAATTTAATCAAGAATTTCAAAGATAGATAACACTCACCTCTATGAGGGTTAAAGATCCGCCTCACAGTGTCCCAGCCTGGTGCACCCCCATAGTGGGACGGTTTTCCAGCACCAGTGGATGACATTGCATGCCGTGCTCCATTTGGCACAGATGGGACTTGTCCTGTTGAGTATACCGTTGCATCAGCGTTTACCCTATCAAGAGCAAGGACCACAGCAGGATTCCTGGCAGCTGTGGGTTTCTTTCCATCTACTGTGTTGTACTGTGAGGACGCATTAGCTGCTTTGGTCTCCATGAGTCTGGCCGAGGTTCTGCAGTGAGGGAATGAGACACTTTAGTAAAAAAAATAAAAGTACCTGCTGTTTATTGCTTGTTATACTGTAGAAAGTGTTTATTTGAAGCAAGCAGCGGCTTTAGTGTTATATTTCTGTTCCATGGATCATTTAAATGTGTGCATGATGACAGGCTGCCCTGCCCACGCAAAATTACTGTCTGAATCCAAACGTCATTTAGCTCCCACTTTCTGTAGTCAGGGATCACAGCCTCTCACCTGAGCACAGGCGAGATGTAGTTGCTGGGCAGAATGCCCACTTTCCCCGTTCTGAGCGATAACCCACGCAGCCAGCCTTCCTTGAACTTTCCGTACACTCCCACCATCTCTCCTTTCCTCAGCTCCAGCTCCTCTGGCCGTCGTGGTTTGTAGGAGTACAGAACGGCACACCTGAGTAGTCACACAGAGGGTTTATCTATGTAACTACCACACTTTCTACAATATATATACCCAGATTTTGCTGTCTTTTTAATGGGTATTTGAATGTTTTTTGTTTCTTTTTTCTATTCATATCTCGCACATCTGATCTGACATTATCATATCATTAATATAATGTTTAAAACAGTGACTCACACACTGATGGAGAGCTGCTGCGTGGAGGAGTTCTTGCCGTCAGCAGAGGCGGAGGACATTTGGGGTTCACCAGTGCCATAGAGATGGTGGGTGGAGTCTCACTGGTCATCTTCTTCTCACCCTGTATTGGGATGGATTCAAAATGATCATCATATAGAATGCAAACAGTGATGCATGGCACATTATTTAAGAACACAATATGAAAACAAAAGTCTACAGCAATGCTAGCGGTTATTCGCCACTAGTCATTCATGGCATAAGTGTTGAAAACAACCAGACTTACAATTACTTGGTAAGTGTGTTTGGTGACAGATTTATGTCACTGCAATAACTTTTTTTTAACTTTTTCATTTATTTGCCAGTTTAGTTCCCTTTATCAGAAGAACAAGAACCGACTGCAAGGTGTTAATGTCAGCCCTAAAATGGCGAAATACAAAGATGAAAAATGCACGCATTTTTTGACATAATATGTGCCTTTATGAATTGTGGCAAACTAGACACTGCCATTAATCCTTATATACTCTCAACAACAAACAATTCTTTTTAACATTGCCATATTTATATTTTTATATTTATTATGTGTGAATGAACTGTCTATTTGTACTTTTGGTTGAAAATTGGAATGCAAACGTGCAATGCTATGACAATGCTATCACAATGCTATCACAATGCTATCACAATGCTAACCTGCTGATGTTTAGAGGGTATAATAATATATCATGTTCAATGTCTCGGTTTAGCATGTTAGCATATTAGCATGTGCTAATTACCACAAAGTACAACTGAGGCTGATGAGAATGGCATTAGTTTTGTATTTGGTCATAAACCAAAGTAGCTACAACTGATCTGATGATTACAGCAAGCAAAAACTGTGTTCTTAGCTGCAACTTTTAACAACACCAATACAGAAATGATGATGTATACATTTTATGTATGATACAGTAACACTAAAACTATATATAATGGTTCGGCAGACATCTTTTGCATTTTATCTTCATAGATCCAATTCCCAATTACAGCTGACAGCTAAGAAACTATGACATTCTTGAAGTCAGTAGGCTGTTGAGTCAGGCCTGACCCAGATGACTAGCAGGGAGTGACACTGAGGTGTGTTTCACAACTATTAACAACACAGTACGAAGCTTAATCCCTAATTTACCACTACCAAACAGAAGAGGGCCTTTTAGTGAGATCTTTATAATTATTTTCTTCAACCAAACAAATCCCACATGTGTAATGTTTTCTGATTATCATTACAGAAAGACAGAAATAACTTTCCCAGTATTATCTCCGCACTGACGTCTACAGAGGCTTGCTGCTATTTACAGCACTACCACTCAGCTACTGCTTAAAGCATGCTGTCCTGTGGGCCTGGGGTTCCCGCTCTAGAGCATGAGTCTGGATTCTACAGCTCTCCCACCATTAAGCTGCAGTGCATTCACACTGCACCTCAGAGATGCACAAAAGGAGTCATAATTAAGAGGCAGCCACTGCTATAAGCACTATCTCACTTGTGTAAGGCAGTGCTATGAGGCAGAAGTAAAGAGAGATAAAGTTATGATACAATGTCGTGAAGACATACCAGCCTTCCGTCATATATGAGAGTAAATGGATGAGCATCACTGTCACCTGTAGTTTGTTTTGTCAATGTATCTTTTATGACATTCACATGACATTTACAATAAAAGCAGCCATCGACACTAAATATAAAATGTTGTGTAAAGAAAAAAGAAAACTATTTTTTCATGTATTCAATTATTTAGTTCTTTTCATTACTCTGTGCCCTTTTATATTCCTGGGATGTATTTTATCAGATACACAGAGGCTGTTTCACTTATGCTGCAGTCACGTAATGGCCCGTTCCAGTGAACCAGCAGTGGCAGTGGCTATATTTACATGGAGAGGGTAATTCTGCTATTCTGAACAAAGTCTTATTTGGAGTAAGTGGTTGACGTGCTCCTGTTCCAGATTCTCTGTCACCACAAATAAGCCAAAAATTTATAATCAAAATTAAATACATAAATGAGACATTGTGAGAATTGTGAACTTCAACTTCCTTAGTAATAGTAATCATCAGTAATGTCCAAACTGCATAAAGGACTAAGTGAGGTCTACTTTTCAATGTTACCCCTCTTTAACAAAACAGAGAAATCTTTAGCCACTATTACATTTTTGTAACTCATCTTATCGCAAAGAAACAGCCAACAGTATCTCCTGTTGAAAATACTGGATGAAAAATCCCCAAATCCCACCCAAATATATCATAATAAGTTTGTCAAACTTAACACTAGCTCGTAATGGGTGTGTAAAAGCGTTACTAAAGTAAATAAAATATGGCTTTGGACACACAGGATAGCCAATACTGTTTAATCAGGTTGAAGTTGGATGGTGCTAAACTGGGAATTACTTGATGTCACCAAACTCTACATTAGGCGTGTTTGGGATGAACCAGACCACCAGTGATCACCACACAATGCATCATGGTTAGATTTCTGGCTGACTCGATCCCAACTGAGATATGACATCATGCTGATAACATCAACAATGAGCTCACGAGATGAAGGTGGCTGCAAGACCTCTGGGTCATGATGGGAAGCGCCTGGCTGTCGCCTGGTCTAAGAGCTCATTGGCTCAGGTGATTGACCTGATTATGTCTTCAATTCCACTTAAGTGTAAATATTTAGATTTTATACATCATTTTGTGCTATGAAAGGTGATTCTGAGAATCAATTAGGAAATATGCAGGTAATAACAACTACGAGGCCAGAGAAGCTGAATAAATTAATTCTATATTTAATATTCAAGATACCATAAAAGAAGCTTATCGGTTTTTAATTATTGTTAGGTGACAAAACTTTTGGTAACGAGCGGGATGTTAGGAAATAACATTTGCACAGACTGATGTCAAGCAATGACATGGTTGACATATAAATCTACCCCTGTGTGTAGATGTAAAGATATATTCACTATTAATTGGTGTTTTGATTGGTGAATGAGTTATGGATATAGAATAATTTCTTCACATAAAATAAGTTATTAATTGCTGTCATGTCAGTATCACAGATATACTGCATTTTAAAGCAACACTTGCTGAGTGAATGAAAGCTTAATAGATTGGACAATTAAATAATAAAACATTTTAATTGGGAAAAAATTACATGACTTACTAATGTAATGTAATGTATATTCTGGAATATATCCTGGGCAGGCTAGTGGAAATTATCTGATTTAACTGCAGTTTTTGCACTACCCCTCACTGCAGCAGCCAACTTTTGTCCACCTTCCAGCCGAGGTCAAATTCATCTCAAACAGCTATTGTTAATGACGTGATTTGTCTGCCCTGGAGCAGCAACAAAGTTATTAGAAGAGTGAGGGAGATGTCAATAAAACACAGTCTGCACAAGCCTACACAGGCTAAAGGAGGTCAGGCAACCTAAATGAAAACACCTGTGTAGGTGGGCAATGAGGCTTTAAAGGTTCAAACAAAGTTTGTTATATGGTAGGGCTACAACTGAGGACAATTTTCATTATTCATTCATTAATGAATTCGAACCTTAATTAAATAGCTGGAACAAGAGAATGTTTGATTTTTTTCAAGCTACTTAAAACAATTCATTCATGATTTCTCTCTCTCTCAAATATTGTCACCTCTTCACCTGCTTCAGCAAAACATCCCTGGACCGAGTGATATCTTGTCACTTAAGACTCAGCTAAACAAGATCACAAGGTCCTGGATAATACACCTAAAAGCTACCATCAGTGTAATATACTTCCTTGAAATGGTCTCCTTTGCTGGGAAAATCTCATCTAATTTCACTCAAAATCTGGTTTTACCTCTGTCTTCTCTAATATAATATAATGTGATGTGATTTTATGTTTTCATGTTTCACCAGCCTGCACTGACTATCTGCTTAACACTGCTTTGAATTTATTGTCTGCATTTTACATGTCCTACTTTGCATGATGCTGCTTTTCCAAGCTATTTATCAAGTTCAGCTGTTCATTTAATTGTACAGATTGTGTGTTTTATTGTTATGGTTAACTTAACAACAGGCCAAGGGACAAAAGTTGAAAATTAGCCTTTTGGCTAAATGGCACTTTTACAGTGACGTCAATCAATGTGCATTGTCCCTTTAAATTCAATTAAATTAAAGTCCTCTAAAATGTTTCATGTGTGGCCAATCTAGATTTCTCTACACTGGCTCCCCATCATATTCAGAATTCAAGATTCAGGATTACTGATGATTAACTACATTAGAGAGCTACTGCTTCCCTACAGTGTGTCAGCAGTAGGTCTCTGGGGCTAATCAGGGTTTGTTGGTTGTTCCTCACTCCGAGCTATTAACAAAAGGAGATTGTGTTTTCGGAACTTTCTCTCTGTGGACATCTGTGGACACTTAAGCTGCTCAAGACACACCTGTTAAACGTGCCTCTGTGACATTTTTTATTCATTTCCATTTATGTTGATTTTACTCTTCTTAAGTCATTGTTTTATGTTTGTTACCTTATTTTCTAATTGTGAAGCACTTTATGATGTTCTGCTCTTGAGAGGTGGTTCCTACTAATCAAATATCAGAATAATTGCTCATTAATTTCCTACCAACAAATCGACTAATCAACTAATCATTTCAGCTTGATTATAGTAAATTCACAGGGTTACTAATTACAAATCAGCCTTTTGCTTATTTCTAATCAGGTATTGTTGTGTACCAGTGAACTACTACTGTTTGATATGGAATTGAACTTTTCTATGTTGCATTTTAACTTTCTGCTTTTGGCTCATTTCCATCCAAAATGTTGCTCTTACATAACAATGCCAATATTCCCACTAATATGCCTTATTTCATCCACAGTTGGTGGGAAGCAACAGTGTAGCGGTGAGAGCTGATGGGACGCAGCACTAAGAATAGCACACATAGCTTTGGTCAGTGGGGAGCTCAGCCTTGGCTTTAGGGACAGAGCCCTCCGCTCCTTTAAAAAGGGAAGTGCGTGGCTTGCCTGCTATTACTGGCCCACTGATGTGAAAGCGAGTGTTACCTGCTTAGTGAAGAGGAAGGAGTTTGAAGGCATGGGGAGAGAGGGGTCTGTTATGTAACCAACTTCAGTGACTCATCATCATCAGCATGAGAGAGATAAGCAGACACACTGAGGGACTCTCCAAGCCTCCCACTCTCTACATCCATCTCTCATTTTTCCTTCTCCTTCTCCCTCCGTCTTGTGTTTTGCCTTTTTTGCAGCCCACTCATTTTGTTTTCCGTTTCTCTTCCAAGCTGTACGCCATCTTCTTTTCCTCTTCCTGTCTTATCGCGCCCATTTCCTGCTTTTTATCTTGTTCTCAAGTCTTAAGTCTGTTTTTTCTCTGACCTGCATGAGGTTTAGCATTTTTGTGCTCTGACATGTATAATTGCAGGGTAGAGCAGTGAGATTTGAACTTTGAAAGGAAATCATTATCTCAGGAGGTAGGGCACTTGGCAGCAGGTTATATTATTAAACCTTGCAGAGGCTTTTATGTTGGCAGTGCACATAGCTGGCTTTGACTTTATGCAGTATTCACATTATTACATTGTTTCCGTTATATATGAATGGCATCATGTCCTGTGGCATCCATAAAACTGTTGTTGTGACATGTATCCATCAAAACATTTAAGCTAAGGTGATCAGAACTATAACTAAAATAAGTTAATATTCTTTAACATTTTCACAGCGTGCTATTTTATAGTGTTTCTTTCATGTTGCTTCTTATGGTCATCTAAACATATCTAAATGACAATGCTCCCAATATAGTCTCCTGGAGATGTTCATCATCCATCCATGTGAATCAGGCTGCATAACATATGCAGGTAACACTGCAAGAAACTGATCCTGATAGCTTGAGATCCAAATGTTCAAGGCTGCCCTGACAGAGCCTCAAGAAACACTTAAAAAATAAAAGTTAAACAGTGTTAGTAATTTTGTCACATGCACTCTTCTTGTGAGAAATTTAGATGACATGATAAAGCACTAAAGGTGAGCTCAGTTTTTCAGTGGCAATGAACTTAAATTTGGCCTCTATGTGTTTTACACTTAAACATTTCATTCTATCAAAGTTCAATTCAAATGAGCGTTCCTGTTTCATCTCTAGCTATGCTGTTATGCCATTCAAAAATAAGACAATTATAAAACGTCCCTCAAGTACTAAAATTACATCTGAGCTAAAGAAAAAGGAAACACACCCTGTTAGACTGTTATTCATCTCTGAGGGGAAACCCTGGCTTATGGCCCAAGACGTTTGATTAAAGATCTTTCAAAGTTTCAATCCACTCACCTCCAGTCCAAACGCCTTTCGTATCTAGCCCTTTTCCACATCTGTGTTATCTTAATGAGAGCCACTTAATCATGCATCGGCCAACACAAGGGCGATGCCTCTCTCTCTCTCTCTCGTTCATTCCTTAAGCTTAGTGTCACAGTTCCCTCCCTGTACCCCTGAGGACAACTTGATACTTTAGTGACTCAAAGAAAAAAACCATAAATTATCTCCCAGAAAACCGGCATTCCTTTTGCTAACCACATGGTTTCTGTGAAAATCTGCCAACAAAACAAAGCCAAACACAGTTGAGCTCAAAGATTATGAGAAAGAGGAGAATCTTTGCCCCATCAGTATAGCATGCATAAAGGCAGATATGTTGGCACATGACTCACCTGTAACAGGTGTCTGTGTGTAGAGTCAGAGTGGCGTCTTACTCGGTGAGAGTTCCCTCTAGAAGGGTGAGAGAGGCCCCGGGCGGCAGGATGCACCGAGAGGCGATGTGACAGACCCGGATGGTTGGTGCTTTTGAAGGTGCTGATATTGGTCGTCTCTGCTTTGGTAGTCTGATAAAAGTTGATGCTGCTGGCTGCGGGCTGTTTCCGTTGGTTGGAGAGGGGCAACGCATTGATGATGGGTGTCTTTGCTGGGACTTGAAGGACTCCGTAATGGGTGGTCCTACCGGATACGTCAATGGCCTTGTCTTTGCCCCCACTCCCAGTCCGATGGTAAAATTCTGCTGAGTCACTCCACCTCCGATTCTTTCCCTCTAGAGTTTGGCAGCCAGTGTGTATGGCTAAAAGAGATGAAAACATAAAAGAGAAACCGCAGTGAAAATCGGGATAAATCCTGACACAGAGAACAGTCAATCCTCAGTCAAGAAAATCCTCTCCAACTCGCTCCTACCTGCAACTAGCGCCTGTCAACCTCTGCTCCTACTGATCAGCGAAATGGCTGTCTAAATACACCCACTTATCACTACTCCACTCACCCCTACAACTTGTTGGCCAGGCAGGCAGTGAGGCAGGCAGACAGGAGCATAAGTACCAGCCAGTAAGCCAGGAAGGGCTGACTGGTGCTGAGAGAGAAAGCTGCACAGACAGGCAGGCAGACAGACAGATATGGCAGGGTTAATGCTTTCACTCCCCACAGTGATGTGCTGTTATGCCACCCAAGCAGAGAAAGCATTACTGTGTCTTCACGCCTGGCTGCACGACACGAGGAGAGGCAGGCTCAGAAAGGAGAGGGTAGAGGAGAAAAGAGGAGAATAGGAAAGAATAGAGTACGGGAAGTAAAAAAAGATGAAGAGCACCACTGAGGCGGTGCTTCAGAAGAAGACACGGGTGGACAGGAGACTAAAGGAGGCATAAGAGGACTAATAAGAGGAGGGGAAGAAACTAAATATTAGGAAAAACTATTGCAAAACAGATGACAAGTGAGGGACGTAAAATATAGCTGAATGAGGCACCACAATGACCCCACTGTAGGAACAAATACAATTTTCTTTGGCAAGGATGAAGTTAATTCCTGGAGGCAGAAAGTACAGAGGAAAACAAATGACAGTCAGCTAGCTAAGCAAGCTCTGCGAACCTGAGTAAGCCACATAGTCACACACTAATGAGCAGCTGCAGACACAGCAGGGCTTCACAGATTAGCTATCTGCCTCAGCACTTTGCAGCACAGGAGTGACATTTACGGATGAATCAAAGATGTGAATGAAAATCAAGGTAGCGCCCTGGCAGTGACCTGGAATTAATAACATCCAGCTACGACATCTATGGTTCAATTCATTACAAGAGCTACACCATCAGACCAAAGTGCCAAACGGCAGGTGTCAACCTTGATCATACTGAAAAGGCCACAAGCCACATTCACACAATGAAGGAGGGAAGAGAGGACTAAGAAGAACTCACCTCTGTAAACTGCAGAGGGCAAATTCCAATTTTCTCCCCGAGCTTGGCTTCAATCCAGTGTTCATCCACCCGTCTGATGACAGTAAGGATGTCTCCCTGTAAACCAGAATTAAGTAAAAGACACAGAGAAAGCAATGAACCTAAACAAAGTGCAGAAAAGGTGAGAGGCAGAGAACCCACTGGAAAAAATCAAAACAGGATGCCGGGTGCTTGTAATAGAGATAGGTCACCCTGGAGACTGAGCACTCAGCTCAGAAACTCTCCGAGCCCTGTGTTTTTCCTGCAGCATGTGACATCAACTCTCCTTGTGTCTGCAGGCCTGGTCCTTTCTGCACAGGCTCAAAACCATTTGACCATCCGCATTAAAAACTAAAAAAAAAAGCAGAGTGCAAGTGTGCTTTAATGGAAAGCACACAAGTACCGAGGCCCTTTATAACTGCCTCAGAAATCTTCAGGGTTAGTAACAACCACGGCAGCAGATTCTCCAGCTCCTGAAGTCTCTCCAAGAGGTGAAAAGAACAAAAAGCAATGACCATTATGTATTAATACTATTGGGGACTTCCTCTGCTCTTCATTATTAAAAACGTGTTAAGTTAACATTTTTCTAATATTTGAGCATGTGGTAAAGCTAATATGATAATTTGACAAGGACATCCCGGATTTGAAATATTCTAAAAGACAGCAAACACTTGTTTTCGGTACATCAATTCATTATTCAGCTACCGTTTTTTCACTAACAGACCAAACGATTACTCAAGAAAATAATAATCAATAATTGAAAATTGTCTTTAGTTGCAGCCTTAAAATATTTGGTAATTTGTCTCAATACATGATTGAAATGAGCACAAGCAGCATCCCTAAACGTCCTAGCTTGGGTTTCCCCAGGTAACTGTTTAGCAGAGGTTAGCCACCCAGATCCTGATGCATCTCGTCTTAAGACCAGTTTAGTTAGCAAATGAAACAACAGCAACACTCATTATATACAGTATAATTTCCCCCAGAAGGTTAATGTTTTATTATTCCCTGAAGGTTACTGTTAAGTGTAATCATTTTCTTTGTGCATTAATTAAAGAGTAGGAATCTCTGCAAGCATTTAAATCAAATGTACATAAGGAAGACTCAACCCCCTGAAAGTGTTTGCTGCTGTGTTAAATCAGTAGTTTGAGAGTCAGACCTTGAAGAAGCTGAGACAATATTTACTGTCTTCCAGATTCATCTCCTCGGGGTTAAAGTCATACAGCCCCCTGCAGAAAGTCGGAGGTTGGGACTGCTGGAGGGGCTGCACCTGAGAGGTCTGGTTGACGGCCTGCAGCGTGCTGGCAGTGCCAGGCACACCGCCACTGGCAGCTTCATTTCCATGTTGCCAGTTCTCATCCACTTTGTGTTTCGAGGTGATACCATTACCTGGCGTGAGGACCATCTCTCCTGACGAATCACCTCGTTGGTTACGCATCAAAGGTCTGAGAGCAAGCTGACGAGCAGACAAAAATTATCAATCAGTTACTGTATTTTAAATAAAGTTGTGGATTTATTTTACATGATACACATTTCTGACATACACATTTAAGATGGTAAAAAAAAAACATCTTTAAAGATTTGGGGGCATTAAGTACTGCATTTTCAGGATGTGAAACATTTATTTTGTCCTTTTTACCAGTGTGTCTCATTTAGGTCAACTCACTCTGGTGTTTGTTTTCACACTGGTTGATGTTGTTAACAGATCATTTTGTGCTGAGCAGACATAGATGTGTGATGATCTTATCGGATATGCAGATGTGTTTAATATGACACATCCTTTTTCCCTTTTAAGATAATATCAAATTTTGACTCAAGCTTTACTGTAATAAATGTTTTTTTTAGTTACAACTTTTCAGTGAGGTTGATTAAAAACCACACAACCTTAACGCACATAATGCACTAATTATTTTCTGCAAAAGTCATTTTTTATAACTTTTCACAAAATGAGACCTTTCCTTCAAAATAAGAAACCAGATTTTCACAGTCCTACATGTCGACAGGTGGAATTATGCATAATAGACTGCTAATAACACCTTTTGAAATATTATCTTGCAGTTTACACTCCGTAAATATGATCTTTATTAAATGAACTTGAACTCAAGCTACAGATTAACAGTAGACTCTGAACAGTCTATACACAGGACTACTGATAAGGCAGGTCTCTTCATATTTCTCATCACCTCAAAGAATAAAACACTGTCATCAAATGAAAACTGCATTTAATAATTTTACCGACTGTGAAGTATGATCCTCACATCTCATGTTGGGTTTGAATTAGGTGACATACCTGCTTTATATAGACAAAGAAAACCCTGCACCAAAGAAAACCCTCTCTATTTTGTAATTTTCTTTTCAATTGTATTGTTTTGGAATAACTTCTTAACCGCCTGAAAATAAATTGAGACTAAACGACAATTTTCTGAAAACATACATTTCAATAAAAGACTCTGCAGGGTTAAAGCCTATAAATGTAAGTCTAATTTTATTATTAACAGGCAGATTCTTTCAATGCTCCGTCAGTTTTTCATGAATAATGTACACCTTTAAAAGAGTGATACAGAACAATAATAAGCATTCAACACGTTATGCTTCAGTTTAAGGTATTAATTTCAGTGACAAGTAAGAAAATCCTATCCTATGAGTCTGTGAGCAAAGAGCTATAATTCTGTGAGTCTCTTATGATATAGATGTAACAATTTGATTTCTCTGAGTCATCTGTTTTAGTATTTTATTAAATAAGGTTTGATCTTTAATATTTGAGCCTGTATGTAACACAGTAATTCCACCCTCCACATCTGCTATGTATGGAAAATGACCATCAGAAGTCAATGTATCACACCCACTCCTACTGTATGCTCTGAGTTAGTTTTCAATATGCATCTTTTGCATAACCTTTAATGTATCCTTATCAATCCTACACCTACAGCCCTGTATGGTAGATTTTTAAAGTTATAATAGAGCTCTTGTGTCTGAAGGCGTGGAGAAGAGCTTTTAGAGTTCTTTACGATGTGAGAAGTAATTCATCCTGACTTAAATACACCTGTAGTCCTGATAGACACCATTCGTACAGGTCTGAGGGGACCTCATCACTTTAGGCCTAGGGGGGAACACTGAATTTCACTTCGTCAGCGGAAAAATTTTACTAGGTCAGATGACACAGCTCTTATGTGCCACACCGTCTCATACAGTGATATGCTCAAAGTATTAGGGGAAAAATCCCACTTAAGTTTGGTGAACTCACAGTGTTGAGTAAGTAACTCACTAGAAATAAATAAATAAGACATCATAGGTGAGAAGACAATAAATATGACACAAGACAATAGCTATTTGCCAACTTTCAGCTCGACTGAGATTTACACATCAGTGAGCAGGACTGCTTTATAGCAATATGTGTTTGATTTTCGCATCAACGTGATGTACTACTTTTTTGATTTGTCAGGTATTTTTGCTGGATTAGCCAAAAGCAGACATCCGTGTTGGGTGATTTCTTCCATTAAAGGTTTCTCGATTGATTATCCAGAAAATGTGCAATATGACAATCACTATATATCGATATTGTGATATAGATAACATAGATAATGTACATATAACGTGACAGAGATTCTTATCCATATTGCGCACTCCTGGAAGGACTTGCTGAGTGCTGAAACAAAATAATAAGCAATGGCTGACTGTTGGGAGGAATATATCTAAAAATGTTTGGAAACTGGCTGGGATTCCTGTAATGTTTGAATAGATAAATATAATATTTAAATAGGTGTAGTAAATAGGGGTTCCCATTCACAAATATCACATTTTGGTAACCACTGGGCCAACCAACCATTATTTGCTGTAAGTACCCTTTGGGTTGCACAGTGTAGTGGGCTATAGGGTTTTCTTACAGTGAAAGAATTACAGCAGATTGTTATAACCATCAACAACAAATTGTGTAACATCACCTCAATTTAGTGTAACGATTGTAACAAAAAAACTCATCACATGATTTGGATATAAAATTGTCACCCAAAGCAGAGTCAAAGCTTGTGATAGATAAGCAGAGGGTGAGTGCACTGACCTCACTGTGCCCATACTTTTCTCTGTGCTGACTCTCCTGCTGCTGCTTCTGCTGACCCTGCCTGGCCATGGGCATTGTGTAGCGGGCTGTCTGCGTTTCCCTGCGGGGCTCCAATGAGCCCTGGAGCCCTTCCAGGAGCCGCACTAGCAGGGGGTTTGCAGGAAGCTCCTCCACCGTCCTGGCCGAGGTAGGAGCGCGACACTCCGGACAGAGCAGCTGGGAGTGGGCTGCCTCCTGCCTCTGCAGACAGTGCGTACAGAAAGTGTGCTGGCAGGGCAGGACCTTGGCTGACACATCCAGCTGCTCGTAACACAGAGGACATTCCAGTAAGGCCATTAGCGCCAGCTTCTCCATTGTAAAAGGGCCAACTCTCTATGGGGCTAGGGGTTCTGGTACATCTGAAACACTGTAATCCACCATACTGGGAGAGACAAAAAAGAAAATCCAATTCAGTGACAGAAGTTAATTATACAATGAAAGAGTCAGAACTTTACTACTGAACACAGTCCTCTACAACCAATAAGATATGGCTCGAAGATAACGCCATAACTTCAAACAGTTTGATAAGGCTTGACTAGCAATTACTACGATACTTTGTTGTGAACATTACACGCTGCTTGCACACAGGTGTCATGTCAGCTCACCTGGCTACACAGGTAAGACAACAACAGGAAATAACCGGACGGACTCTCTCCATATTTGTCCCAATAACACAGAATACAGAAACTTTGGGTACTTACACGTGTCTCTGCGGACTGTCAGATGGACTATACTCCATGAACGAGTTTAGGAAATGTGTAACTTTGTCGCCGCCGTCGCCATGACGCAGTGCGCTGAAGAGGGACGGTACAGCGCAGGACAGGCGCGCGAGCTTCACCCTACACCGGTATCACCGACTAGCTCGTGCCAAAAAGTATTATGACATGAAACAAAGATGTGGAAATTAGACTTAAGACAAACTGGTAACGAGGTCTCAATCACAGAAGCAGGCTAATTCAACAGGAGCTGTATCGAATTGCAGTGTCATGTCCGACTGAGTTTAACCCTTAACAGCTAACCAGCTGTTAAATTTACAACATCGTGATAAAAAAAAACATTCCCCATAGGTAAAATTGTTGTAAAAATGTTGTACACTTAAAAACAACAGTTCAGTAAGTTAGTTCTTAAATAAGGACTCATTTAAACGTGTTGAGGGGCTATTACATTGATTAAATACCTACATTGTTAAATTCTTCTCCCTAATTCCCTAAAAAGTCTGATAATGGTTTGGGGATATTTATATATCCTTATTCCTATAATAGGTCTGTAAGTAGCCCCACATTTATTGATTTAAATGTGTGGGAAAGGGGGAAATAAAAGCAGAGCAGTGTTTACAGCATTGTCATGTGACATGGTCTCCCTCTGCTGGTGCATTTACTGACCGACTACAGCTTCACCTGCAAGTACCAGCACTGTCCACATCAGTCCTACTGGAAACAACACGATGAAAATACAATGAACCTGAACTCTGCTTAACAGCCATCGTCCTCCGTACGTTTGTAAGAATATGAGCCTTTGCTGGACACACAGAGCAGTCATGGTTGTTGCTGGAGATGGTAATGATGGTGCACAAGATATAATCACTGGGTTTATCCGTTTGCTTTATTATTGTTTGGACTTTATTTGCACAGTCCAGAATTCCCTTTCTTGCATCCCGAGACTAAATAATTTACCCATGTTGGCTATGAAGCGAAAGTTCGGGACATCTGTTTGAATTTTTTAAATAGCATGAATCTTTCATCTCTTTCTTCACGTCAGCAGAACTCGGGGAATTCTAAAAATGTGCATATGGCTTTTACAGAGAGAGTGAGAGCAACAGAAGAACAGAGAGAGAGAGAGAGAGAGAGAGAGAGAGAGATTACCCATGACTTATTTACATGGTCATATCAAAGTTGATACAGGCCTTTCCTCCCAGGCCTCTCACAGTTTAATGGCTCTGGCAGAATAAAGGGCAACCTAAACAGACCTTGATTTTAGGTCATTTATGGATAATGTTTTTTCTGGATTGAAACATAACTTCTTGATGACTGCAGCACTTCCATCTGTGAGTGATGGATCTTCTGTCATCCAGTCATAGATAGAGGTGAGGGTGTGTGGTTGTTTTGCTGGAAGTCAGTGCATAAGTGCTTATCAGCTGCTTACACCCCGACGGTCAGTCTGGCCACAACTGAGGAGCCTCGGACGTTGTGGCGTGTGGGACTGTGTTTGATGGTTCTGATATATGACCTATCTGATGGAGAGGGAAGGGCCTCCCCGGGGATAGCTCTGAGCTTGGTGTGCTGTCTCTCAGAATATCATGGCTTGTCACAAGTTGCTGTATAAGGAGGAGTGCCTTCTTCTCCAGCTTTCATGTTTTATTTAAAATGCTGTCTTACTCAGAGAGTGCTCCTAACTCATTGAATGTGATCCGTCTCAGCGTAGCCTTTCCCTCTTTTTTTCCGGGTCTCTCTCTCCCCCTCTGTCTGCGGCTGTGTTTGATCATTTGACTGTGCAGATGTGCTTCACAGTGTATGAGGATGTGTTTCGGCAGTTTAATTTGAACAAGGTCTCAATCAAAATGCATAATCCTTGGGCAGCAGTTTGTTGCGGATTAACCACAAATTAAACAGCACTTTAGGTGTATCAAAACCACATAATTAACTTTTCCCTTTCAGAGGGAACTAATCCTCCACCCAAAACTTAGCTGCTGTCGTAGTTGCAGCAGTTCCCGAGTTGCTGATTAGCTGACTAACGTTGGTTGTTTCTTTCTTTTCTCAAATATGTATTGGCAAGCTTCAGAGAGAAAAGACTTTTCTCTCACAGGGCAAACATGAGGTGGGGCTGCAGTCCGTGTTTGGAGGAACAACACAGAGCACTAGTCAGACTGGTTCAACCAGAACATCTGCAGTTTTTTGAAAAACTACACTAGACCGTACATTTTATGCAGGTGAGGTGTCCGATCCCGTTGTCTGACACAGCGAGCTCTTAATGGCCTGCAGTGTGTTGTCACTCCGAGTCAACTGACTCAGTCATGACTCCCTGAAATCCTGGGAATGTAATTTAGGCTGAAAATGTATGCAGAGCAGCAGTCAGCCCTTCACCAGATGCTTTCTTTAACATCCATCTATGAAGTTTCTTTGCGATTCCTCCACCCACAGTTTGTTCTGGCTGGTCCTCCTCTGCCAGCAGATTGAATCCTATAAATATTTCATATTTGATAAATAAATGAAACAACCTCTTTTCTTACTTCTGCGTAGCTCACTAAGTTGCTCCCCTACCTACGTATGCTGGAGCTTATTATCGCAGCTCTGACATTGTTTCAGTCATTGCCTAAATGAGGTTTGTCTCAGGGACATTTTCATTTATTTTTCAACTAGGCATCAGATGCCTCCATTTTGCTGGCAACAACAAAAATGTTTATTTTTTAATAATAGGTGCTTCTGTTCAGTTTGGAGCCATAACTGAGGTAGATTTCTTAAAGCATTTCATGAATTAAATATTTTGTAACCACAACAGTGTCAAAGTGTCTCAATGTTTTTGTAGGAAAAGAATAAATAAACTATGCTCTCTTTTCTCAAAGCCCCCAAAAGAAGGTGCATGCTTTTCCAGAAGATATAGGGTGACATCTTAGCCCATCATGTCGTTGACCTCCTCTGACTGTTGGGTCCCTCCATACATTAGTCACATGGGACATATGCTATTTACAGCTGCCTTGCTTGTCAGACTGCGGGTGGTGTGCATCAGCAGAAATCTGGGTCATGTGACTTTATACTACACCTCATGTCTAAAAGGAACTCAAACTAAAAACACAACCTGAGGGAAGCAGGGCCGAGGGGTGGGACTTGAGCTTTGAGCCAATCACAGCTGAAACACCTGAGCCAGAGTAACGTTTAAGCTTTCCTGTTGCATGAGGTTTTTGTTGTCTGCAGGAACGACGGTGTTGAAGTCTTTTGGTGTGCAAATGCTCCAGCAGCTGTTTGAGTTCGAGATGTGCATGAGGGAAACTAAAAATAGGATGCGCACACCTCTGAGCCAGCTGCCTCTTCACTGCCTTTGGGACTGCCTTTGTGTCTCCCCCTCTCTGCTCTTTCAGTCCTCTTGCTCTCCTCTACTCCTGCTTACACAGTGGCTATTGTTACCCCCCCCCCCCCCTCTCTATTTTCCTACTTTTCTTAGTCTTTGAATCAGGCCTTGTATGTCTGGCTAGTCCTGTGCTGGCATGAGAGACCTGAAACGGGACTCTGCTTCCCCTCACTATGGTCCATTATCCAAGTTGATAGGAAACTAGAACACTGTGGCACAGTACTAAAAATGAGAAGTCTCTGTCCCATGAGTCTTGGATTCAGTTATCTGAGAAGCACCCATAAGTTTATATCCATTACAGATAAAGATCTGGTATCAGAAAATATGCGCTTGAATGGGATCCTAGAAATGCCAATTTTAGTATTCCAAGGTTGGCGGCACATCAAGTTGGAGTTGGAGCTATGTCTTTGTACTTTGTTCCTGCTTAATAACACAAATGCTTCTTTCCATCTCAACGGACAAACTTCTCATCTCACTTCTGACAGTGGTCATTTTGGCACTTTCAACAGGGTAAAGAAAAATGCTGGCAACGGTACATTTTTTTCAATTGAAAAGACCAAAATCAAGTTAATTGATCCTATCCTATTCAACATTGCAGCACCATTTAACGGAGCTATATGTAGTTTTTTTTTAAATGAAATCAATCACTTTTTTGTTGCCTGTATGTGAAGGGGTTGTAATCTCATGTAAAACGACCCAATTGCAGGGTTTTTCTGATGGCCAGTATGCCTAATCCTATGTGGATTAGGGTCTGATTTTTCGGGAAAAACACTGGCTGTGATTGCATGTGCTTTCTGATTCTGTACCGTATACAGCAACAACACCGCAGCTAGTGTGATGAGTCCACTAAAACCAAAAAACGACCGGCTCCCAACACAAAACAGACTCCAACACAAACTCCACGTAAGGATAAAAAACAGCTACAAAGTTTTATGTGCTGAAGCCCTTCAGGCCAAACAAGAATCAGATCCACTTGGGGTGACAATACAGTCCACACAGGAAAGGCTTGAGTCACCAGGAGACTTCCGCTTTGACAAAACTGTCACAGAGTTGGCTTTCATCCTACTGGACAGGTAAACTGATATTACTGAAAAGCATTTGAAACAAATTGTGATGTTGTGCTTTAGTTAGTTCAATTTAGACAACATTAGCTCGCCGGCTAACGTAATTACTATTGTGTGTACCACCTATGTCAAAATGTTGATTTTAGTCTGGAAGAAATTATGGACAGTACAAAGCAAATATGGAACAATTTGTTTAAAATAGCTTATAGTGATGCAAGGCAGGGGCAGCCAGCTATAATCAGCACGGATCTACTTTCGTTTTCTTTGTAACATTCAATTCAGATTTATTGTCGTTTTGCCGATATCCAGGTACACTGCTTCTCCAACGTCTCAAGCCTAGTCCACACAGAGTTTTTTCTCCTTTGTTTTAAAAGAGACAGGGCCTCAGTCACTGTGACTTACGAGTCCCACATAATACAATAATGCAACATAACTATGCAAGCATGTTGTGTGAAGCTGTCTCCCAGTGTTTCGGTCTCTGTGTATTTGATTATGCTCGCGCAGGAGTTTGAGCACCAGTTCAACCACACACCAGGTTGCAATCTGAAAACCACACCATTGTGTTCGGTGAAAACTACATATAACCCCTTTAACTGGTGACATGTCCCCTCCAGTCATATCACCAGACAAGAACATCATGTTTCTGCAAAACCTCAGATTATATTTATCACTAATCTTGCTTTTTGTAATATCAGCACATGGCAAATACAGTATGGGTAATATTATTGAGTGGTGTGGTCTGGGTCAGTACCCAAAACACCTGATGCTGTGCATGTGACCTGCTGTGTGGAGAGAAGACATCAATAACTTAACGGCCATTCGGAAAGCCTGAGGTAAGAGATCAAATTGGAGGAAACAAAACT